ACCCCTGGATTTAAGGATCCAGGAGGCAGCATTAATTTATGAAATTAAAAAAGGATATTCCACGGAGGTGATAGGTGACCGAGACCTGGAGGGAACAGAAGCTCACATTAAATTGCCACATCCTGTGCACCAGGTGGGGCCGCAGTTCATATGTCTGGACGACGGAGCACAAGTGGTTCAAACAAATAACACCGAGCTCACCATCTTTACGGATGGTAGCAAAATTGAGGGAAAAGTGGGTGCGGCGTTGTCCATCTGGAACAGCGGTGCCGAAACTTTTACCAAAAAATTTAAATTGGACTACTTTTGCACCGTTTACCAGGCGGAGCTGTTGGCCCTGCTTGAGGCCACCAAATTTGCACTTAAATCCTCTGCACGAGGTTGCAACATATATAGTGACTCCAGATCAGCCCTGGAGACAATCACCCGGGGCGATTCCCTTCACCCCTTGGCGGTGAGGGCAAGGCAAAATATAACCAAGTATAAAGATCTGGGAAAATCAATTTCTCTAAACTGGGTCAAAGCTCATGCGGGGGTGGAGGGAAATGAAAGGGCTGACTTTCTGGCAAAAGAAGCTGCACTGAAAACTAAAACAAAACCATATTATGATAGATGTCCTGTTTCATTCGTAAAGCGACAAATCCGGATGGACTCGCTTAGCGAGTGGAACAGGAGATATAGAGAAGAAAATACGGCCGGCACTACCAAGATCTTCTTTCCCGACGTTGTCAGTGCTTACCCCATAATAAGGAAAATCGAACTGGACCCACTGTTGACGCAGGTGCTAACAGGACATGGTGGGTTCTCCGAGTATCTGTACCGTTTTAAATGCAAAGAGAGCCCCTCATGTACCTGTGATAGAGAACAGTTAGAAACGGTAATACACCTCATTACGGAGTGCCCTAGAAATTATAGAGCAAGAAAAGAAGTAGAATTAAGATTTAAAATAAAAATAAATAAAGAGGAAATACACGTAATAATGAAAGAAAAAGAAATTAGAGGCAAATTTATAGAATATTGTAAGCGTATCGCGAAAATAGCTATAGATAGAAATAAGTAGATATAAAAAGGGAACTTGAATATATATGTGAGAATATATAATACAAGTCCCAAAATAAATAGAAATTAACAAATAAAAACAATTGTAATTAGTAAATAATATAATAGAAATAAGAAAAGGAAATTTAAAATATATGTATAAAGTTCATATAGATTAATTTCAAATTAACGTGTAATAAATCATAAGAAATAAACAAAATAATATGGTAGATATAAGTTAGCGATACGATAAGTTAATAAGTAAAATAATTATATAGAGTAGAGATAAATAGAAAGTAAGAAAATATGATAACATAGAATACTGTATTAAGAATTTTTAAAAGAAAACATTGACCAATAAACAAAAAGAGCGCAAGGTCCCTGATCTCCCATGTCAGGGGAAATAGAATAAAAAAAAAAAAAACCTAACCTAACCTAACCTAACCTAACCTAACCTTTTTTTTTTTTTTTTTTTTTTTTTTTTTCGTGGGGAAATCCTCATGGATACCTCCGGCTGCGGGGGCAACCGGAAGGTTATGCCGGACTCCTACCGGCTAAAACCCCACGGTGGTCTCCATCAGCGTATACGAGGGGTCCCGGGATCTCCGTTCGGAACACAACCGGGGCCCCTCTCTCGCTTCGCTTAATTAGAAGCACGTCCCAGGGGCAGAACTTACTACCCCCAGCACCCTCGCAGTGCTATCACGATGTCTCGGGACCACTTCCGAGCCATCGTCCTCCTCGGGGGTTACGTTACTAGGCATTCGAGGCCCCCGCTCCAAACGCCTGCAACCCCAGAGGCCCCGTTTCTGGTAGGGGAACACCATCTTCAGAGGGAGGGCCGTGACGAACGCCTTGATGACGTCGTCTCCGAGTGGGATCTGTCCTCCTCCGATCCCGCTCAGCAGCCTCCTTCTGGACCATTACGGACTCACAGAAGTTGGCTACGGCCCTCCACGCCGAGTCCCCGCTCAACATCGCCGACACGACTGCTGGCAGGGAGAGGTCCCAACCGACCCGGTTTGCCAGGATCATTCGCTCCCGTTCCCACGCTGGACATACCGCCAGCGTATGGGACGCGGAGTCCTGATCCTGTCCACCGCAGTGGAAGCAGTTCGCCGTCGCTTCGCGTCCGATCTTACACAGATAATCACCGAAGCACCCGTGCCCGGTAATTATCTGTGTAAGTCTGTAGGTGAGTCTTCCTACTCGTCGCTGCATCCAGGCTTCGAAGACCGGCAGGATTGCGCCAATAACGCGTTTGCGTGCATAGCGCTCCTCGTTAAGTCGAGTGCGCCACATCGCTAAAGCGTTCTGTCGCTCCTGCCGTTTTATAGACTTGAGCGCCTCATCTGGCTCACTGCCACCTCTCTGACGGAGGATGCGGATTCGGTTGTACACCCTCGCATCCATATCCGCCAGTATATCTAGGGGTGGGAAGCGAGCCAGGACTGTTGCCGCCTCAAAAGATATCGTGCGGTATCCCCGCACGATCCGTATAGCCATCCTCCGCTGGACACTGTAGATTTTAGATCTACAGCGCCGGATGGCTAGCCTTTTCGCCCAAACAGGTGCCCCGTATAAGGCTACGGATCGTACTACCCCCGCATAGAGGCGGCGTATTTCCTCCCGCGGTCCCCCTAGATTGGGCAGCAGTCTGTGCATAGCACCCGCCACCCTCTCAATCCGGGGGACTAGGCGCTCAAAGTGCTCTTCGAAGCCCCAGCGACTGTCCAGGTGGAGCCCCAGGTACTTCATGTACCGCCCCACTCTGACTACAGACCCACCCACGTAGACGCACGAGTCAGGTGGTTCCCTGCTCCGAGGTAATTTGTGAAACCATAAGGCCTCGGTCTTATGAGGCGCTATTTCTAGACCCAACTCGTGGATTTTGGCGACGACGACTTCCGTCCCAAGCTCAGCGAGCTCCTTGGTCCCCTCGAAGGTGACCCCGCTGGCGACCACCAGTGTATCATCGGCATAGCATACGATATTTACGCCAGCAGGAAGGTCGACACGCAGAACCGCGTCGTACGCGAGGTTCCACAGTAGCGGCCCCAGCACTGAGCCTTGTGGAACCCCACGTTTGATCTCCCTCCGTATATTCTTACCATCTTGCCCCATGTACAGAATGTACCTGTCGCGCAAGTAGTCCCCGATTACGCCTTGCAGGTAGGAAGGCACCTGGTGGTATGCTAATGCCGTCCGTATTGTATCCCAGGGTAGAGAGTTAAAGGCGTTGACAATATCAAGACTTATTGCCAACGCCACACCACCCTGGGATATTGCTTGTTCCGACAGGGAGCGCACGCGCATAATGGCATCTACGGTGGAACGCTCCCGTCGGAATCCAAATTGGCTTTCTGCCAAATCGGGACCGACGCGCGACAGATGTCCGTTGAGCCGAGTGGCAACTATTCTTTCGAACAATTTGCCAATCTCGTCCAACAGGCATATGGGACGGTACGCAGAGGGAGAATCGGCGGCTCTGCCTTCCTTCTTCAAGAGGACCAACCTTGCTTCTTTCCATGCTGTGGGGAACTTGGCACTCCGCAGACAGCCGGTAAACAGCTGTCTTAGCCTATCCCCCAAGGCAGCCAGACTCAGCATCAGAGCCCGACCAGGAATTCCGTCAGGCCCTGGTGCGGTATTTCGGGCTCTCAAACGGCTAACGGCTCGGTCCAGCTCCTCCACGGGCACCTCCATCTCATCATGCCACTCCAATGACGACGGCAGGTGACCTGAGGGACTTGACCGGTCCTCTGGGAAAAGCGTGCCGATCACTCTTCCCAGCAGTTCCGGATCGAGAGTTTCCGTCAAGGGCAGCGACTATGGCCGGAGTTTTCCCAGCACCATCCTGTACGGTCGCCCCCAGGGATCTTCGTTGAGTCCCTCTAGGAGCTCTTTCCAGGACCGAGACCTGGCGTTAGATATAGCGATTTGTAACGCCTTTGTAGCCGCTCGGTATGCCCCGTAGAGTCTGGCTATATCCTCAGGTGGAGCTCGCCGTCTTCTCCTTCGGGCTCTAGTGTACTGGCGACGACTCCGCAAGCAGATCGCACGAAGGTGTGCAATTTCTGCCGACCACCAGTACACCGCCCTTCGCTTGGGACGACTGGTCCTGGGCATCGAGACGTCGCATATTTGCGCCATCGTAGCCCGGAACCAGTTTGCTTCCACTTCCGGATCGAGCGGAACCTCTTCGGCTTTTTCTGGCCAGGCCGCGACGATGGCGGCGGCTTCGAGCTTGTCTCGGTCGAGCCGCTTGAGACACCAACGCCGCGGTGGGCTGCTTTCTGGACGACTGGAGTTACTGTCGAAGTGGCGAAGTGCGACATCGAACACGATGTGGCGGTGGTCTGACAGTGTCACCACCTCTGTCGCAACTCGCCATCCCGACAGCATACGCATTGCAGTAGGAGTTGCCCACGTAAGATCTACAATGGACTCCCCCTGCCACCGCACACATGTACTCTCAGACCCCCGATTTATTAGTCGAAGGTCCAGACCAGCCGCCCATTCCATTATGGTCTCTCCCTTTGGATCGTCCCTAGAGTTGCCCCAAGCCCTGTTATGGGCGTTAAAATCTCCTAGGACGATCAACGGACGGGGTAAGCACCCACGCACGCAATCCGCCACCTCGTCCAGGTACTCCTCGTAGTCGGCGAGTGTCCTGTTGGGAGAGACATAGCATCCCACTATAGCCAGGGTGCCCCATTGTACTGCAACAAAGCCCCGCCCTCTTTGCAGGAGGACGCAGGGTGGGGCACCATCACCACCCCCCCAGTAGATGGCTACGGAGCCCAATTCGTCACCGAACCAGCGAGGATGGCCGGGGACGGTATGGGGTTCCGCTACTACTGCAAGGGCAACCCGCCACTCCACAATGGTCTGCATAAGCAGATGTTGTGCATTGCGGCAGTGGTTCAGGTTACCCTGGAGGACTTTGAGGGGCGTGAATTCTATGTCTCAGCAACTTCCATTGCCGAGCCGGAGCTCGGTGCTGCAGCAGGTACTGCTGTGCCCGTCTCGCTGGAGGGAGTGGGAGGGTGTTTACTCTTCCTAACTCCCCTTTTCGCAGGTTGAGCGCACTGTTTCCCCAACCTATGGTTGGATGGACGCCCAAGGTCGGAACAGACTGGACATTTAAGGACCGACGCGGTGCACTGGTTTGCTCTGTGACCGGGTTCGCCACAGGCATAGCAGCGAGTGCTCCTGTCTACCTCGTTAGGGCACTTACTGCCGACGTGCCCCTTCTCGAGGCATCTGTAGCAGTGCATAGGCCTGGATTCCAGTAGTTCCACTCGAGTTGAACCCCAGCCAATGCGTACGCGTCCTTCAGTTATTAGTTTTCGGACCGCCGTTACCGGGCATCGCATCCAGCATGTCCCCATGCTGGTGGGGGTTCGGCGAACATCCCCAACTTTGATGTCGTCTACCGAACAACCACCCAATTCGGCGATCGCGGCTGCTATCTCACAGGGGCTGACAGCGTCATCAAGGTCTTTCAGCCGAATGTCGCTCATTTTAATTGGACGGCTAATTCGGACGTTCAGATCACAAAAGACCTCGCGCAGTTTCGCTGCCAGTTTGTCCGCTTTTGAGTTGCAATCCTGCCCCGCAATCTCGAGAAGTAAGCCCCCTGTCACAGCTCGCTTTTGACGAACGGAGTCGATTCCCAACTCTGCCAATTGGATCCTGGCCTTTGCCTCCCCCATTACCTTGGCATATGTGAGTACAGAGTCCTTAGGCAACGTCACTGTAACTGCCGCCGATGCTGGTGTACGCATTTCAGTTTTCCTTCTCTTTTTTCTCCCTCTTGGAGAGGGGGTAAGATCTGCCACTTCTGTAGACCGCTTATATTTTGGCCTTCTTGCCACGTCTGCCCAAGAGCTTACCATCGGCGGTGAAGAGTTATGCAGCTGTGGCGGGGCAGCCACTGGAGGCAGATCCACCACCGACAGATGGGAAGGCTCCTTTTTCTTCTTTACCCTTCGCTTCTTTTTCTTTTTCGGCTGCGGTAGTGATGTCAATGGCTGCGACTGCGGACATCCTACTCTCATTGATGCTGGCAGCTGTTCCCGCGGTGTCAGCTGCTGGTTGGCTGATGTCCTTTCAGGAATCAATCTGGCATGGAAGGCCGCCAGCTTCCTGTCTATTAGAGCCCCTATGTCTGCCATGAGTTCTTCTTTCCCGCTCCTAGGTTTGGATGCCGCAGGTACTAGCTGAGTTGGCAAGGTAGACCGTTCCTGCATCTGTTTGCGGAGAAGGCTAATCTCTTGTGTAAGTCTTTCCGTCTTCGTCGAAAGACTGGAAAGCTGGGAACGCAACTCTGCGTTCTCTCTCTCCAGTCTGGCGACGTTATCATTTGAGTCGGTCCTTCGCGCGAGTTCTTCTGCCGCCGCTTTAATGTTACGCACAGCCAACCTTATGCCACGAACATACTCTCCTTTGAGGTTACGGGATCGATCGGCAACTTTTTCTAGAACTTGGAGGTGAAAATCAATATCCCGACTGAGTTCCACGTCTCCGTGAGAACGCATTTCACGGGCTAACGTTTCCGGGCCCGGAAGGTTCTTCTTTGCCCTGGTGTTAGTGGGTGTTATGAAAGGATCAAATAGGTCTTCTTCTGTTTCAGCCCCTGTCGCACTCTCTCCTCCAGAGGCTGCAACTGGGACCGCCGTGAATTTAGCCGCCACAACTGACGTACTCGGAGGCTTCGCTTTTCGTTTTCGACCTCCTACCGATGTGAGCGACACGAACGAGCCATCAGACCCACCATCAGCGTCGCTCTCACCGGCCTGACTGCTTGTAGTGTTAGGTCGCTTAAAACGCCCACGCTTGTCTCGTGCCGATATTGGTGGTGTCTCCGACACGGCTCCTGCTTTTTGAGATTGGCCCTCTGATGTTATGGGGCCCGCGGTTAACGCTGGTGCATCACCGCAATGCAGCGGATTGCCCCCCCCAGATACGTTGGGGCTGCCACAGAGCCTAGTTAGGCTACTGGGGGTGGATTCCCCGCCAACAACAGGGTTGACAGGACCACCCTGGGGAGTATTTTTCTTGTCGCACTGCATGTCATAGTTTTCCTTTTTTTACAGGGTATGGTCCCTGAATCCCCCCTCCCATAGGCTTGGGACTGGGCTCCCCCCCAGCCATTCATCCCATCGGCACCTTAGACCTTAGGATTAGGGTTATTTTTGTAGAGGTTGTCTTCCTCGCGGCCCTGCGGGGGCCCCCGGGCCCTAGTGGGCTTACGGGTTGTCCGGCATAGGTGCGCTTGGCACATCGCCGCACAGAGATCGCCCGGGATCGGTGCGCTTGGCACATTACCGCGCGGGGTCACCCAGCATTGGTGCGCTTGGCACATCGCCGCGTGTGTTGCATCCCGTGTTCGCTCTAATCAAAGAGCGATACCGAGAGCAACAACAAGCCTGTGAAGGCCCGTCTCTTAGGGTGTTAAGCCCCGGCCGTTTCTGGTTCTATTGGAACCACGGGTACGCCCATACCCGGCCAGTTTTGGTCCGCGGCGGTTTCCCGCTACCACCCATATCTGAGTGGCGTTCCCCTATCCGCCACCTGGGGACGCGCCCGATGGGAGCTCTGGCAACTCCACACGGGAACCTAACCTAACCTAACCTAACCTTTTTTTTTTTTTTTTTTTTACATGGGGAAATGCCTACGCATACCCGCCTCGCGGGGGCAAGGACGGGTTATGTCGGACTCGCACCGACTAAAACCCCATGGTGTTCCACCCTCGTCGCATATTGGCAGGGCCACGGGAACGCTTTCGCACACTTCCGCGGCCCCACCTGCGCTGGCCACTCTAAGGCGGCCTCTCCTCGGGAGAGGACTACTCCTCCCCCATCTCCCTCTCCGGTAAGGCGCACCAGAACACATGGCGCGCCCTCCTCCTCGGCCTCCAGTTTCACATGCGCAACGGACACCCCCGTGTCCGATGCGCGAAGGCCATGGGGCCAGGAAAAACTAGCACTCATTAGCACCAGCCTTCCTGACCCCAGCGGCGGATCTGGTCTATGGCTCCGCCGCCAACCAAGATTCGGCTGCGGAGGGTAGGGAGAGCGGCGCCTCGCAATACCGACACTCCTCTCCCCCCGCAGCCCCACCACCACCGCATCAATTGACGTTGCGGCCCCGTCTGAGTCGCGGAGGATAGGGCGAGTGGCGCATCGCCATACCAACACTCCTCTTCCTCCGCGACTCCACCTCGGCTGCAGCGGTAGAGGGTGCGGACTCCCCTCTCACCGCAGCCCACCAACACACATCCGAAGTGGGCTCCCCAAGCCCACTCGGAGTGGCCACCTCGGGCCGGCCCTACACCTCGGGCCAGCCAAGGGGTTCCTCTTTGTTCACCGTGGTTGACCAAGCCACGGCTACTAAGCCCCCCCGCCACGACAAGGCGGGAACCCGTTCGGGGGGGAACCTAACCTAACCTAACCTAACCTAACCTAACCTAACCTAACCTAACCTTTTTTTTTTTTTTTTTTTACATGGGGAAATGCCTACGCATACCCGCCTCGCGGGGGCAAGGACGGGTTATGTCGGACTCGCACCGACTAAAACCCCATGGTGTTCCACCCTTGTCGCATATTGGCAGGGCCACGGGAACGCTTTCGCACACTTCCGCGGCCCCACCTGCGCCGGCCACCCCATGGCGACCCCTCCTCGGGAGAGGACCACTCCTCCCCCATCTCCTTCTCCGGTAAGGCGCACCAGAACACATGGCGCGCCCTCCTACTCGGCCTCCAATTTCATATGCGCAACAGACGCCCCCGTGTCCGATGCGCGAAGGCCATGGGGCCAGGAAAAACTAGCACTCAGAAGCACCAGCCTTCCTGGCCCCAGCGGCGGATCTGGTCTCGGGCTCCGCCGCCAACCAAGTTTCGGCCGCGGAGGGTAGGGAGAGCGGCGCCTCGCAATACCGACACTCCTCTCCCCCCGCGGCCCCACCACCACCGCATCAACGGTGCGGCCCCGTTTGAGTCGCGGAGGATAGGGCGAGTGGCGCATCGCCATACCAACACTCCTCTTCCTCCGCGACTCCACCTCGGCTGCAGCGGTAGAGGGTGCGGACTCCCCTCTCACCACAGCCCCCCGACACACATCCGAAGTGGGCTTCCCAAGCCCACTCGGAGTGGCCACCTCGGGCCGGCCCTACACCTCGGGCCAGCCAAGGGGTTCCTCTTCGTTCACCGTGGTTGACCAAGCCACGGCTACTAAGCCCCCCCGCCACGACAAGGCGGGAACCCGTTCGGGGGGGAACCTAACCTAACCTAACCTAACCTAACCTAACCTAACCTAACCTAACCTAACCTAACCTAACCTAACCTAACCTAACCTAACCTAACCTAACCTAACCTAACCTAACCTAACCTAACCTTTTTTTTTTTTTTTTTTTTTTTTACATGGGGAAATGCCTACGCATGCCCGCCTCGCGGGGGCAAGGACGGGTTATGTCGGACTCGCACCGACTAAAACCCCATGGTGTTCCACCCTCGTCGCATATTGGCAGGGCCACGGGAACGCTTTCGCACACTTCCGCGGCCCCACCTGCGATGGCCACTCCATGGCGGCCCCTCCTCGGGAGAGGACTACTCCTCCCCCATCTCCCTCTCAGGTAAGGCGCACCAGAACACATGGCGCGCCCTCCTCCTCGGCCTCCAATTTCATATGCGCAACAGACGCCCCCGTGTCCGATGCGCGAAGGCCATGGGGCCAGGAAAAACTAGCACTAAGAAGCACCAGCCTTCCCGACCCCAGCGGCGGATCTGGTCTATGGCTCCGCCGCCAACCAAGATTCGGCTGCGGAGGGTAGGGAGAGCGGCGCCTCGCAATACCGACACTCCTCTCCCCCCGCAGCCCCACCACCACCGCATCATTCAACGGTGCGGCCCCGTCTGAGTCGCGGAGGATAGGGCGAGCGGCGCATCGCCATACCAACACTCCTCTTCCTCCACGACTCCACCTCGGCTGCAGCGGTAGAGGGTTGCGGACTCCCCTCTCACCACAGCGCCCGACACACATCCGAAGTGGGCTTCCCAAGCCCACTCGGAGTGGCCACCTCGGGCCGGCCCTACACCTCGGGCCAGCCAAGGGGTTCCTCTTCGTTCACCGTGGTTGACCAAGCCACGGCTACTAAGCCCCCCCGCCACGACAAGGCGGGAACCCGTTCGGGGGGGAACCTAACCTAACCTAACCTAACCTAACCGGCATAACAAGTTCGGACCACAACACAATACTATTCAAAATTAAAAGTACAAAATCTCCTGGCAAAACTATTAAACGAACAACAAGGATATACAACAGTAAAAAGGCGAAATGGAGTCAGTTTCATGAGAAACTGACTCAATTATTGACTGATAGCAAAATAAACAAAACAGAAATAGATAGTATTAGAAATAGTATAAATTTGGAAAAACATTTAGAGAAATATTTAGAATTAGTAAAAGAAGCATGTGATGCTACCATTCCTAAAAAGAAAAATCAAACTAAATTTACCTTGCCGTGGTGGAATGATGAGCTTGTTATGCTAAAGAAGGATGTCACTACAAAAAAGCGCCGAATAAGATGTGCCGCTCCCGTTCGGAGGGCCGATGTCGTTGCAGCGTACCTGGAAGCGAAAAATATTTATGAATGTGAAGCAAAAAAGGCTCAGGTAAAAAGTTGGAAGGAGTTCTGTGGAAGACAGGATAGGGAAGGGTTATGGGATGGGATATTCCGAGTTATTAGCAGAACGACAAAACGGCATGAAGATCTGCCTTTAATCAATGACGGGGAAACACTAGATAACTCTGAATCGGCAAAGATCTTGGCCGAGACCTTTTATCCGGAGGACCTAGTTGAAGCTGATAATGCAGAACACCAGCGTATCAGGGAGTTAGCAGAAAAGGTCAATGAAGGGACACAAGATAATTCTTGTGACCCACCATTTACAGTCGCGGAGCTAAAACACGCAACCAACAGCTTCAACCCGAAAAAGGCTCCGGGTGGAGACGGATTCACGGCTGATATTTGCCGACAAGTTATCCTCCATAACCCAGAACTTTACCTGAGCCTAGCTAACAAATGTTTAGAGTTAAGTCACTTTCCCACTGTGTGGAAATCAGCAGTAGTCGTGGTTCTGAGAAAACCGGGGAAAGAAGATTATACGCACCCCAAAGCTTATAGGCCGATAGGTTTGCTGTCAATAATGGGCAAAATCCTGGAGAAAATGACTATAAGAAGGATAAGGTGGCATATTCAACCTGGGGGAAGTACTCGCCAATACGGCTTCACGCCACAGAAAAGCACCGAAGATTCCCTCTATGACATGATGGAGTATATACAAACACAACTACGAAATAAAAAGATAATCACCATGGTATCACTTGACATAGAGGGAGCCTTCGATAGTGCATGGTGGCCGGCCATCAGATGTCGATTGGCTGAGGAAAAATGCCCTATAAACATACGACGGTTGATGGATAGTTATCTCCAGGATAGAAAGGTTAACATCAGATACGCTGGTGCAGAGCACCACCGCGCTACTTCAAAGGGGTGCGTACAGGGTTCCATAGGGGGACCGGTACTGTGGAATCTGCTACTAGATCCTCTGCTAAAGGAGTTGGAGGCGAGAGGCGACCGGTGTCAGGCTTTTGCCGACGATATCGTTCTCCTGTTTGCGGGGGACACGGCGCTTGAGATCCAGAGGCGTGCAAATGCCGCTCTCGAGCATGTTCGGAGGTGGGGAATTCGGAATAAACTGAACTTTGCGCCACAAAAGACCAAGGCTATGGTATTAACCAACAAGTTAAAGTACGATTCACCACAACTGAGCATGGGCGGGATAGACATTGGCATGTCGGAGGAGATCAAAGTGCTTGGTCTCACCGTAGACAGAAAGCTCACATTTAAAACCCATGTAAAAAATGTGTGCAGGAAGGCCACAGCTCTTTACGTACAATTATCAAGGGCAGCCAAAATCAGTTGGGGTCTTCAACCAGAAATCGTAAGAACGATATACGTGGCGGTTGCGGAACCGATTGTGCTGTATGCGGCGAGCGCGTGGGCGCCAGCC